CTGCAGAAGAAAGAAAATCAGAGTGAAGAAGAGGAGGTTTTGAAAGTGAGGGTGAGGATCAAGAAAAAGTAAGTGAGAGTGAAGGAGGTGATGACGATTGTGAGGAATAATAGGGGAATGTGAGTGAGGAATCTGAAGGTTCCATGACAATTGAAAACACTGTCATAGCCCCTTCAGAAAAAATTGGTGAAGATACAAGGGCTCAAGAACCTGGGTCTCTGTTAACTCCTTTCATTGGAGATAAATATGTTAGCAGTGATGTAGATGATATGCCACTATCTGAGGTAGGGAAGAAGTCCAGAAAGACCACTGTGAAAGCTGCAAAGACAACAGTCTTAACAAGGAAATGAGTGTTTCCTCCTGCTAGAACTCCCCTCACAAGGAGTAAAAGAAAGGCTGTTGATGCACAAATCATGAAGGAGTCAAGAAGTGCAAAGAATCCAAAGAAGAAGATTTTAATTATGGAATATGTGGTTGAGGTGGATGGAGAAGATGAATCTGACTCAGCCTTGCCTGCAAAATCTGCCACACCAAAGACAAAGGGAGCCAAAGTCACCAAACCTGCTACCTCTTCTGCAAGGGCCAGTAAGGGTAAGACAAGAAAGAATGTGCCAGTTGCAATTGATCGACTCACAGAGTTCAGGAATAGAAATGGCTAAATGGGAAGATTCTTGCAAGCACTGATGAGAAGGGAATGTCTCAACTGGTTGAGAAACTTGAGCTATAGGGGTGGAAGCACATATTTGTCAAAGCTTTTCCCCGAGTATGTGTTCCTGCTGTGGTGGAGTTCTACACAAATTTCACTTTTGATGGGAAGGTAGTCAAGAGTAAAGTAGGGGGCTTCGACATGGAGTTTGATGCTAAGGAACTGGGGCTGCTTCTGAATATACCTTCTTTGGGATTTGACAAATATTTGAAAAAGAAGTAGCCAGCCATAGACAATGATGTTGACATTGGCATTGTGGTCACCAGGAAGTTCTCCCAAAAGTTTGAACTAGATGCTCCCTAGAAAGTGTACAAGACGGATATGACTCCCTTTCACAAGCTATTGTTTCAATTTGTCAACTCCTGCATTCTTCAGAGGTCTAAGAAAAGGCATGAAGCTACTCTTCTAGACATGGCTGTGATGGAACTGCTTGACACTGGCCGACCTATCAATCTTCCTAGCCTGATGATTCAGCACATAGCAAGAGTTGTAGATACTTCCAAACCAAAGCATGCTATACCATATGGTTTTTTGTTGACTGAGTTATTTGCCAAGCTCAACATTGCCTTGCCTGAGCTTAAGCTTGAAAACCACAATGATGTTTTGGATGTTGTTACCCTCAAGCAGTGGGGATATGATGAGATCAAGGCTAGAGGACCCACAGGATCTGCCATTCTTCCTGGGAGCAGTAGGGTTGCAGAACTCAGCAAGAGGTTGGAGTTGGCTGTTGAAGAGAATGCCAAGCTTCGTGAAGATAATAATTAGCCGAGAAAGGAAACAAAGCAACTCAGGAAAGAGCTTAGAAGAGACAGGGAGGCCCATGGTCAATAGATTTCTACCCTTGTGAAAGCTTTGATCCCCTATACTTCTCACCCTTGAACCAGTTCCTTCCTAGTGTCCTTAGTTCTTTTGCTATTCTAGTGATGCCTTATCGTTTGTTCCTTTTGTCTTAGTCTGAGTAGTTGGAAGTATGCTTAGTTTATTTTGTTCTACTGATGAAGACAAGGCACTGGGCTTCTTTTGGAACTATTTAATGTCTCTTATTGCTCTGCTTTACTGCTTTGTACTCTATTGGATCATCAACCTAGTTTATTTGCCTTTTCTTATGCTTGTGTTGTCACCTGTTTGGCCTTGAATCTTACATTATCTGTGCTTAATGTCTAACATGTGTTTGTGTTTTTTCGATGATGCTAAATGTGAGCACCTAATTTTTGACTATGCTGAATATTTTTTCACTCACACTCTCACTTTTCCCATGCACTTTCCTCACATAATCCCTCCACCAACACACACGGACACTCACAAAAAAAGTAGATTCATCTCTACCCCAAGAACATACAACAAAACGTCAAAAAGGGGAGGAGAAAAATCAAAAAGGAAAGAAAGGAACGAGAAAGGAAAAAAGGGATCTGAAAAACAAAAACAGAGATAATGAGTGATGAGAGGGAGGAAAAGGGATCGGAGGAAAAGCCAGAAAGCAACAAAGCAACGCCCCTTTCTTCCCAAAACACAGCAGCTCAATAGCCATGAAAACTCACTGCTTAACTTGCCAAAAAACCCCATCTTCTCTATACAATATCACCAATGTTATCCCATTTTTCAGCCATGAAAATGCAACTTTAAAGCACCATTTTTCTCATTTTAGCTCTTCTATTTTTACCACCAAAGCAGTCCTCTTCTTTGTCAAAAAACGATCCCAAAATAGCCCTCAAAACATCTGTGTTGCTGCTGGAAAAACCAGCCATGAAAGCCACCATTGTTTTCACGTAAAATCACTATTTTTGTCCCTCCATTTTCAGCTATGTAAGGTCACGTTTACCCACCAAAAATAGCCCCCAAACAACAGCAAAACAGTTACCAAAAACCACCTTAAACTACTGTAAAAAATAGTCGAGGTTGTGTGCGAGGTTTCTGACGTCGATTTCTGTCTTTGTTCGCATCAAATAGCCAATACTGTAAAGTTTTTGCCAAAGGATCATTTTAATGAGGAAAGATTTTTGAAGGTCTATTACTTTACCTAATCTATTGTTTTAATAATAGTTTTCACGTTCTTATTTTAGTTTGCTTTTTTGTTGTTGTTGTTTGTTATTTTTTTTGTGCAAGATTTTAATCTTGATTTGTTTGTATTGTATGAAAACTCATTTCCTCCTATCTTAAGCTCTTGTTCTTTATTTTTGTGATATGGTTTTGCTAGACCGTTATGGGGATTTAGAATAACTATGGAAATGACCAAAATATGTTATGCGAATTAATTTGTTCTTGGTTCTAAATCATGGTATCTTTATTGGATTTTAAAAATCATAATTTGGCTCTTACTGTTTAGTTATTATTTATCTCACCCGATTTATCTCTACTTAGAGCTTAATTATTTTGGATCATTGGAGTTGGAGAATGATGAGCCACGTGGATTTTGTAAGTTAACGGGTCTATAGGAATTGGTACAATTTTGGGCTTTAGATCACACCTATCCTTTGTTATTTAATTGGCAACATTATTTGTTATCTCATTTGGGCCGTATGGTCACGACACTTGGATAATTGAGTTAAAGCTTTGAATGATTTTGGGCCAAATAGATCATGTTAGCTAGATTAGTTTTTCCCTAATTTTATATCCATAATTCTTGACCTCACAATAATTTCAAAATAGTTTAAGAAAACAAATCATGAATACTCGTAGAATGCTTTAGCCGTGCCTTAATCCATTATCATGGTTATGTATACGTTTGCCTGACATAACTATGATCCCAAAATAAAAATTAAGGTATGCGTCTACGCGACTTTGACCAACCAACCTTAATAATAATAAATATGTTATTGATTGTGTATACGTACACCTGGCATGATTCTTGACACGCCAAATAAAATAAGTACACGTGTACGTGACTTCTTTTAAGATAATTTTTCATAAATCTAATCAAGAAATAAAAGCGAATATGTAAAATATGAAAATCAATAAAATACAGTTTGTCCAAAATTAATATAAGCCAAATATAGTCAATAAAGCGACCGTGCTAGAACTATGGGACACAGGGAATGCCTTATACCTTCTCCCCGGTCAATAAAATTTCTTACCCAAACTTTATTTTCGCAGACCAATAATGATAGAGTCAAACCTTCCTTTGACTAGAGATTCAAATAAAAGGTGACTTGGAACACCAAACATCAATTCCAAGTGGCAACTTTGAATAATCAAATAATCCCTATTTCGAAATTGTCACTTTAATTGGAAAAACTCTTTAACCCATAATCCATAACCTATATTTTTTGTAGGGAGTAAAAAGGAGGTGTGACAGCACTGGCGACTCTAGTGGGGACTCTCAAGAATTTGAGCTTGTACATTGACTTTATTTGGCTTTATTAATTTTTTTATATACTGTGATTTATTTGGGCCTAATATGCTATTTGTCCGCTTTTTACCGCTTTGATATTGTTGAACTGTACATATAAACTGTCTTCTCTCGCACCCCTCTGAGACTTCTTGAATTTAAATTGGGCATTTTCTTGACATAGCCTGCTTTCTTTTAGATAGCTGAGGTGCTTGTCACCCGGTGAAGGATTTTAGTCACACATATTTTAGGCAGGGAGCACCACCAGCTAAGCCAGAAAGCAATGCTACTGGTACGTTGACCCTCCTCGACTCGAGTTGTCCACTCGAGTAAGCCAGTCTAGATACCTTCTCTACCAGGATTTAAACCTAGAAGAACAAACCTCATACCGGATCCCTAGTAGGTACGTTTGTTTGCATCACGTGCATTTGACTTTGGGGACTCAACACAAGGGTTGGGTCTGTGTAGAACAGGTATACCCAATTTAAAAGACCATTCTGATGCATTTAACGTGCTACTTGTGCACTTATTTGTTTCGACTTGCATGTTGACCATCTTCTATAATAGGGAAAGAAAATCAAGTAAAACCAAGAGTGAGGAGAGAGAAACTTACCCGGTTCTGAAAAATCCAGGTATTTGAGACATCCTGAAACTCTGCCGAAATTTTGAAAAAAAAAAAAACAAAACTAAAGTCATTTAAAAAAGCCAAATATTTTAAAAAAAAAACATGTTTTTATGACAACACTGACCGAACTACGCGGGTCTGATTCTCACCGGATGTTAGATACGTAGGCAAACCTCATCGGTTTCGGCCCCAATTTTTAAAAATCTAAAAAGATATTTTCCTTTAATTCCTTCTTTAGAAGTTTTTCTTTGAGACGTCAAATCCAAAAATATTTTCTTCCCCTTTTAAAAAAAAAGTCTTTCTCCCAAAATTCAAAACGCTACTCGGCCATATCTTTCTCCAGCAGTGACCTCCTCACGTTGGCGTTCTCTGACGGAATCAAATGGGGATAGATCTGAAAGTGGGAGGTAAGAGCAAGAAGACGAAGCGCACAACACCTAAGTCTGACGATGTTTACTTGAAACTCCTTGTCAAGCTTTACCGATTTTTGGTGCGGAGGACCGAAAGCAAGTTCAATGCTGTGATTCTTAAGCGGCTATTTATGAGCAAGACCAACAAACCTCCCCTTTCCCTTTCGAGGTTGATATCTTATGTCAAAGGAAAGGAGAATAAGATTGCCGTCATTGTCGGTACCATTACGGATGACGTTAGGGCTTATGATGTTCCGACACTGAAGGTGTGTGCTTTAAGGTTCACAAAAACTGCAAGGGCAAGGATTGAGAAGGCTGGTGGAGAGTGTTTGACATTTGATCAGCTTGCTCTTAGGGCCCCACTTGGTCAGAACACGCTTCTCCTCAAAGGTCCTAAGAATGCTCGTGAAGCAGTGACGCACTTTGGTCCAGCACCTGGTGTTCCACACAACCACACCAAACCATATATGCGTTCAAAGGGAAGAAAGTTTGAGAGGGCACGTGGAATAAGAAAGAGCAGGGGTTACAAAGTTTAAGTTGATTTTCATTTGTACTGTCAGGTTGGCTTAAGCAATTATTGCAGCAATAGAGATTTTGAAGATTACTATTCAAAAAAATATTTTCTTTCTTTTGAAATTTACAAAAAAAAAATTCAAAATCCAAAAATATTTTTTTCTTCTTAAGAATTCTTTCTTTCACCAATTCCCAAAAAAAAAAATCAAAATCGGAAAAAAAAATTGAAATATTTTCGTTGCTAGGAGATTTTGTCGGATTATTTGTATATGAGTAAAAAAAAAAGAATTAGTTTATCTATTTTATTTCTGACCTTCCTGGACTACGTAATGATTTGATTCATGCGGCGTCATGATACGTAGGCAATCCCCATCAGATTCAATCATTGCCATTAAAAAAATATTGAGTGAAAAAGAAAGAAAGAAAAGAGTGACTAAAATAATAAGGATTCAATCATTGCCACTAAATAAACTGAGTGAAAAAAAAGAGAGAAGAAAGAAAAAGAAAGAAAAGAGTGACAAAAAAAATAACAAAGAAAACAAAGAGCAAAAAAAAAAGCATGAGTGAAAAAATCAAAAAAAGAGAACTCGTTGTCCAATTTGAAAAAGCAAACCGTGAAAAACTTCTATGGATATGCTGTCAAATGGTACGAGCAAGCCGTCAGGGTAAAGCCTCCAATAGACGAAGCGGAAATGGTTATGGTCTTTCTACAGGCCCAAGAAGTGGACTACTTCCAGAACATGATGTCCGCTATGGGTAAGCCGTTCGCTGATGCTATCAAAATTGGGGAGATGATCGAAAATGGTTTAAAAACGGGCCGAATCTTGAGTCATGCTGCCTTCAAGACCACATCACAGACTGTTCAGAATGGTTCGGGGGGGTTTGATGAACAAAAGAAAGAGGGAAGAGGGAGCCATGATCACTTCGAGATCAAGGGGGCCCCACAGGTCATTCAACTAATCATATATACTTTCTAAGGTCCCACAACACTATTATCCCCATCAAGATGATGCTTATGCCGTGGCACCGCCTCCCTATACGGTGATGTACGCGCAACCTTACACGCGGCTAAAGCGTTATACACAAAACCGAGTTCTACATCCCAGAAATGCCCGTCCCACCAAGCTCCATATAATCCCCAACCAAATGTTCCCCAATACTCTCCTCGCCTAAGAGATCCCCTCAGAAGGAATGCGTTCACCCCTATTGGTCAATCATATTCAAGTTTGTTTCAAAAGGTAATCGGGCTAGGTCTGCTGCGTCTAGTGGTCTCGAACCGAGCAAACCCCGAGTACCCCTCGCACCAAGATGATGCTAGATGTGAATACAACTATGGAGCAGTGGGACACGATACTGAGGATTATTTGGACCCTCAAGAGGGCAGTTGAAGACTTGATTGAAGTTGAAAGAATCGTTCTTCGGGACGTAGAGGCTCTTGATGTGATGAACAATCTATTGCCTGCTCACAACAATGGGCCAGTCGTTGGAATGATCTGTGATGATGAAGAATTTGATCTGGCACTGAAGGCCATGGTAACCATTGCCGAGACAGGAGAAAAGCAAAAAAAAAAAAATGATCGCCAAACCTGAAAAGTTCTTTGTCAGACGGGAGTCTCGGTAGCCGGTCTTGCTGTCTTTTCTGCTTCCGGATTATTTCAGGGTGTAATTTTGATGTTTTACTTTATTGTCTTACTTTCTGATGTAAACCCTTCTATCTTTAAATTTTTTTTAAATAAAAATTAAATAAAATTAATATTTCATTGTCCAGTAATGTCTCTTTTCTTAATCTTGTCACCTTTCTTATTCTTTTTTCAGTTTTGTTAATGCAGATTTTAATAACATGACATACTTGCGGACTTTATGCTCAAATCCTAAGACGTTGTCAGACCTCTAAATAATGAATCAAGAAGCAGAATGTTTTGAAGACAAGGCTTGTAAGAAAATAAATAGAAAATTGAAACGAAGTTGAGATTCCTTCTCTTCAGACCATTGTTGAAGCCGAGATCGAGGGTGATGAATCGATCAAGACCGGGTTGGAACAGTTGACTATAATTAATGAAAAATGGATGGCTGCAGTTTGCCATGGGCAGTTGTACCAACAAAGAATGGCCCGTGTCTACAACAAGAAAGTGCGGCCCAGGAAATTTGAAATAGGACAACTCATTTTGAGATGTATCCTCCCACCTCATGAAGAAGCCAAGGAAAAATTGGCTCCAAATTGGAAACGTCCATACATTGTAACGAGAGTACTGCAAAAGAGATCGTTGTACCTGAAAAACATCGAAGAAAATATCCCTGAAATAACCGTCAACGTGGATGCAGTCAAAATGTACTATGTTTGACCCTCTATGTATCATTAATGTTCTCTGATTGGGATGACGAAGTCTTTCATTCTGGCTATCCTAACACCATCAACCCTTTGCTAACCCTTTTGAGCCGGTTACCTTTCTTTGATTACCCTCTTTGGAACCTGAAGATGTTATTTAAAAAAAGAAACAAGAAAGAAAAAAGAGAAGAAAAATAAAACAAAGAATAAAAAAAAGAAAAAAAAAGAAAAAAAAGAGGAAAAAGAAAAAAAAATAAAAAAAAAGAGAAAGAAGAAGAAAAAAAACACAAAAAAAAATCCAAACAAGTTCATACATTGAACTACGTTCGAATTGATTCCAAAATAATACGTAAGCAGCCTCTCTCTAGGATTCAGTCACACCAAAATAAAAATCCACATTCCCCCAAAAGTTGAAACTGGGGCAAATGTTATAATAGTTCGGCGATGGGTTCGCCTGAAAGGTTTCAAAGTTGTAATTCAATCCAATCCTTTTTACCCAAATCCTTTTCAAGTCCTTCCGATCAATCAACGAGAATGTTCAAAGTTGGAGGATACAGTCACTTGGATCTGATGCAACCAAAATAAGAGAAATAAAATGAGAGGGTCTTATTGGTGAAAACCCTTACGGGCACCGTAAGGCGATAAGGGTGTAAAGAGGTTAAAATGAGAGTCTTGTTAGTGAAAACTCGCAAAGAGCACTATAAGGCGATGGTTAGAAGAAAAATAAGAGAGGTCAGCTGGTGAAAACTAGCAAAGGGCACTACTGATCGAAAAGAGGATCCTCATAGTCACTAGTATCGACACAATACTGGGAAAAGTTTCTCGGTTTCGAGGCATAATATTGTGATGAATGTTTAAGGGTCGGACGGTTTACAAGGATCAGGCATCCAGTCCAAGGCATGTCATGTTCATTGAAGTCTGCATGTACTCCCAGATAAGTCCTTTAATTTTTATTCCCTGAAAGGGACACCTCTTGTTTAAACTCATTCTACATTCCATTGTTGTTTTTCTTTGAATCCCTCTCGGTATAATGTGTCAAAATAAAGGCAAAGAAAGGATGGTAAGACCGATTACAGGGCTCTCGTTTGAAGCGAACGTATGCATTGAAAAGGCACCCAACCGCGGTAAGGGCATCAAGGCCACAAACTGACCACCACTTTGAACACTCATAATTTTTCTTTATTTGAAGCAGGAACAAAGCAGCGCATAATGGCAATTCTCAAACGACGAACGTCACAAAAGGTAAGTTCCTCAAAATCTCTATTTTCTTTTATTTTCAGCATGCGTCCCTACCATTCATACCTCCCATTTACGTAGTTTAACACAGGTAGAACCTTCTCCCCTAGGGGGATCCAGCTCTTATTTTCGGGTAGAAGTACTCTTCGCTCAAGATTATTTTATGTAGCTTAACCCAGGTAGATTTTTTTTTGCTTAGGTGGATCCAACTCATAGTTCCGGGTAGAAGTACTCTTCGCTCAGGCTGTTTTACGTGGCTTAACCCAGGTAGAACCTTTTCGCCTAGGGGGATCCAGCTCATAGTTCCAGGTGGAATTACTCTTCGCTCAGGATGTTTTACATAGCTTAACCCAGGTAGAACCTTTTCGCCTAGGAGGATCCAACTCATAGTTCCGGGTAGAAGTACTCTTCGCTCAGGATGTTTTACGTAGCTTAACCCAGGTAGAACCTTGTCGCCTAGGGGGATCCAGCTAATAGTTCCGGGTAGAAGTACTCTTCGCTCAGGATGTTTTATGTAGCTTAACCCAGGTATAACCTTTTCTCCTAGGGGGATCCAGCTCATAGTTTCGGGTAGAAGTACTCTTTGCTCAGGATGTTTTACGTAGCTTAACCCAGGTAGAACCTTTTCACCTAGGGGGATCCAACTTATAGTTTCGGGTAGAAGTACTCTTCGCTCAGGATGTTTTACGTAGATTAACCCAAGTAGAACCTTTTCGCCCAAGGGATCCGGCATTTTATCAGTGATGCAAGGTACCAACCCCTGGTTACATTTTTCTTTTAAGCAATACAGGGTACCAACCCCTGGTTACATTTCCTCTTCAATAATACAGGGCGCCAACCCCTGGTTATATTTTATTTCAGTAATACATGGTACCAATCCCTGATTACATTCTTTTTCCATAATACAGGGTACCAACCCCTGGTTACTTTTCCTCACTAGTATCAGGGTACACCAATCCCTAGCTGTGTTTTCCGACATAGGGTCTCCACTCCTTAGTTGATTTTTATTTTTTAGACATAGGGTCTCCACTCCTTAGTTTCCTTACCAGTATCAGGGTACTCTATTCCCCATCGTATTTCTCCAATATAAGGTACACCAATCATTAGTTGAGACACCATTTAGACAATCAGCGTACACCATTCCCAAAGAATCATGGTTTCCCAGATTACACCAATCACGACTTTTTATTGCTTTCAATAATGAAGTAGTATAGAGTTTTATTACAAATAACACACGAAATTTTCCTAGTGAAAACTAGGGTAGAAAAATTTCGTCCGTTTATTTGTTTTGGTGTCTGAGCAGGTTTTACCTCGAGGCATGGGTTCGAGATGACCAATAGAAGAAGTCTCAATCCAAAATAAACGAAAGAAAACAAAACGAAGTGAATCTAGATTGTAGAATCGGATGAAAAGATGTGAACTACTCAAGATATGACTGAAGTCACAAGCATTGTATTTACCATCTTTATCAGAAGAGGCCGTAGAAGAATGAAGTGGAACCTGCAGCGAGCAAGCATCAAGGTTCATA